GGTGAGTACTGGTACAAAATCTGCAACAGGTGAGTGCTGGTACAAAATCTGTAATAGGTTAGTGTAGTACTAAATCTGTAACAGGTGAGTGCAGGTACAAAATCTGTAACAGGTGAGTACTGGTACAAAATCTGTAACAGGTGAGTACTGGTACAAAATCTGTAACAGGTTAGTACTGGTACAAAATCTGTAACAGGTGAGTACTGGTACAAAATCAGTAACAGGTAAGCACTGGTACAAAATCTGTAACAGGTAAGTACTGGTACATAATCTGTAACAGGTGAGCACTGGTACAAAATCTGTAACAGGTGAGTACTGGTACAAAATCTGTAATAGGTGAGTACTGGTACAAAATCAGTAACAGGTGAGTGCTGGTACAAAATCTGTAACAGGTGAGTGCTGGTACTAAATCTGTAAAAGGTGAGTGCTGGTACTAAATCTGTAACAGGTGAGTACTTGTACAAAATTTAAAATGGGTAAATAGTGATACAAAATCATAAATAGGTAAAGTACTGGTGCAACATCTTGAACCACATGTTAGGTATCTGCCTACTATTAAATAACAGAAATTTATCTATACACTGCAGCTGAACTACAGAAATTGGATAAATATTCAAATATGTATATCACATTTACAGATATTGGTCTGTTTGTCTAGTGAAATAATATGTCTGCAGAAATTGACTAATTAGTGACAACTGATCCATGCTGATTAAAGTCTCACTGTGGTATTTATTGCACACAAATCTTCTAAGGTTTGTAAATAAGCAATTCTGTGTTAGGAATATTATATAACAAACTTTATAAACAAAAAACTGTATTTTCTGCCCTACTAAATACATTTTTTTCCCTCCTCTTTGGGTAGGCAGCTGTCTTGCAACTACATTGTAGCTTATTGTATGTTGGTGGTTCTTAACTCAGGTGCCCACTCATGCTTGAAATGAGGTTTTCTCCACCAGTCAGCTTAGCTGCAAATTATGACCATGTGACTTTAAATACAAATTTAAAAAAATACATACTTTGTGACATAAAATCTTGATTGTTTATTCAATAAAATGATGGTGAAAGAGAAATTATTTGTTGACATGGTTGGAAGATCATTGATTTTGAATGGTTTAAATTACTGTTAAATATGAATATTTTATTTAGTTTCTTAGAGGTAATTGCAATTTCATTCAGTTAGTTTATGTGCTCAGTGTTTTGAAATTTAAATAGCATTGTTAAAGCACATGTTCATTAATTTTCACCAAAGCATAACGCATGTTTAATGTTAATTTCTCTTGATAATTGATGATTTTACATTAGAAAGAAGTTGGAGGTCATTAGTTTCACGATAGTAATGTTTAATTTTATTTATTTCTGTAACAAAATTTCCCTTGTGACATGATATTGCTGTGTACAGGTATCTCTGTGTTTATCAATTCATCTAGTTTTCACTAAATCATTATGATATAGAGTTATTTGAACAAATTAGTTGTTTTTTAACATTAAAAATATTATCATGATTATTTGAAGAATATTAATATGTGAAAAATCTTGTGAGCCCGCTCCTTATGATGGATTTCTCCGGAACCTATGTACAATGTACTAACATATACATGTAGATGCTCATGTAACAAAAAATCATTTTTTCATATCGCAGACTGGTGTTTCCATTAGTTTTACACGTGCTGAAAATTTCATGTGGCATGGCGTGTCCCTGATGAGGATAACGCTTGTACCCTCAGGACGGATATTCTGATCTGCCACACATGACAGATATTGTCACTGAAGATGGATACTCTGACAAATTAATGACAAAATTTTAAAATGATCTCGTGTTCTCAAATCAAGCTAAAATTATATTTTTTTTTAAGTCCAAGAATAAATTTCTGTATAACTTCTATATATTTTGGGTTTGAAGCGTAAATATATCTATATATGTTGAACGAAATTTAAACGTCAAAAGAATCACCGAGTAGTTTTAAAACAAGTCATGTGACTTGAACAAATCCTGGAAGTTACAATAACAGGTATTGTGGATATTGTATGATTGAAACAAGTCGAAGCCATTCATTTGACATGTTCTTTAACGTTTCCAGAGTTCACTATGACAACTATTGTGAAATCTTAATGCTCTAACCTGACCCACGCGGGTCAAGTTAGGAAACCACTATTTTAATCTTTATAAGGAGAAATGTTTTGTTCCTGTGATTGCCTAGTGTATTCATTTTGAGGTCATTTACAGAATAATGAATGACAAAGTCAGAATGAAGAAATGAAAATTTTGCCTGTGTCTCCCTTTAAGCCCATAAAGTATCTTATTTTCATTTCACAAAAGCTATATTATATAGTTTCAGATATATTTTACTCCCTGTCCATAATTGCTGAATTATCGTTTGTAACTAAGTAAAGTAACAAGTTATTTCACCTTCAACACTTTGTTTATTTTGAAAATCATTTTAAATGCTTTTAATTCATTATAAAACACAAATTTGCTGATTCTTTAGAGAGAAAATTATATTTAGTTCAGAGGATAAATGTGCCACAGATTCTAGTAATTTGTTGAACTGTATTTGAGCTGAGAAAAGTATTAATTCTCAAGTTAATGAAACACAAAGTTCATGCCTTTCCATGTCTTTCTGTTTACTTAGAAGATTTTGTGTCAGAAGAAATTAACTTAGAGAATTATGGATGTGATTAACTTCCTGTGTAAAAATTAACGAATCTTCTTTGTACATGACAATAAAGATAAAACAGATTGCATGCATGCCTTGATTTAATGTATCTAAAGGTTGGGAATTTTTTTAATGACAGGAATAATCAACCTATCACTGACATTTCAGCTCAATAAGGAGAGCAGGAGATTTTGTAATGGGGGGGGGTCTGTGGTTTGATTCTTTAGATACGTGTTCATTTGTCTCCCATTAATAATACAGAAATTATGTGAGAGAAGTAGTCTGTCACTTACAGAGTAATGTATAGATCCCTGACCTGTCTAATTCTAATTATCAGATTAGTGGATACAATAAGAATTTCACCACAACATATTTGTTAACAAAAGAGCACATGTCAATGGTTGTGGTTAAATCTATTGCTATTCAAATAAAAGGTCATAGGAGGGATCTATAAATTGGCAATTACAGGAAAGTCACTAAAGTGCATCAGCTGCTAAATTATGACCTAAAAATGTTAAAACATTGGGTTTAAACAAGAACAAACAATGATTGTTAGAGTATACATATTTGATGCCACCTTTAAATCTGTCTTTATATTGCAATTGGTCAGAATCCCCTCCACAGGGATGATGAACAGGTTAGCTTAAAATGGTAGTGCTTCTACCCACTAGGGAGATTTAACCTTAGATAGAGCTGACAACCATATGACCTCAAAGCAACTGTATGAACTGCAGTAGATTAAAACAAATGTTTAAACAAAAACAAAACAACAGTTTTATTGTCATGAAGAGAGTACTTTAGAAAATATGACTGAGTACTGGCAATATCTGCATATTTTGACAAGGTAATTAATATCATTCTGCGGATGCTTAGTGCAAATTTGTAATCACTTGACAACATGTTCTGTAACTCAATGGTAGAAGGTTGAAATAAGGTGCTCTCCTGTGCCTAATATAATATATGTACTCTTAATGTCACCTGAGCTGATGTATTTCTTCACACATTTAGCTGGACTGCCTAAGAGTGCATGGCACATTATAGAAAAGATAAGGTATTCACATTTCAAAATTTGAGTTTCTAGATTTATGCAAATTTTGGGATTTTATAAGGCATTGGATTCAGTTTTCTACAACAATTAAAAGTTGTCAGTTACTTGTAGAGAAAAATAGGCAAGAACTAGTACAGTACTTCACTTATAGGGAACACAGTTATAGCAAACTTCCTGTTATAAGGAACAATTTTTTTGCATGAATTTTGCCTTTCTTTATTTAATATAAGAATATACGGTTATAGCGAACACGGTTATAATGAATTATAGCTTATAAGGAACTCATTTCTTAGTCCCAATTTAGTTAAAAATACAGAAAATTACACTTTTATAATGAATTCCAAAATATCAGCTATCCATAGATAGATCCTGCGTTTTCATTGGCATGGATTAAAACTCAGCCAAATGTACTGTTTATTTTTGTATGACTGTACGTATAAGTTTTCTATTTAGGATATTTCTAGCATGAGTTCTTGTCACCAAGATAAAACGGTTATTCCTTTTATTCTATTATTTCTTTACTTTAATAGTTTTGCTCGAGTAAAATAATTTTGATTATTTATAATCGGTTTTCAACATAATCACGCATGCTATTCCTTGCTAATCCATTGAAAATTACAAAGTACGCTTGATTGAAATGAAAAGAAATGTATATCTTTCATAAGTAAAAGTCACCCTTAACATATAATAGAACATAATTATTCAATATAAAAGGAAGGATAATTCAAAATCTTGTTTATTCTTAATCTTGGATAAAAACAAAATGCACTGAGTTTATAAAAACAAAATATGAGAGATCAAGAAAAGGAGTAAAACCTAAACTGAAATAGCAAAGGATTTTCAAATTCCAAAAAGTACGCTATTGGGTATTGTGTCTAAAAAAGAAATAGATGACTAATTTTTCTTAAACAAATGCTCTTCAAAATGGAGGACAATGGTAAACAATTAGTTCATTATGTGTTAATTTGTTAGCTATAAAAACTCCTCAGTCCTGATACAAGGAACTAATTCGCTATATGCTTACAAGGAACTCCAGATACAAGGGACAGATTTTGAATTTCCCAATGAGTTTGTTATAAGCGGAGTTTACTGTATAGAACATTATAAATTTTGTCAGGCAATAAATTCTAGCAAGTGTATACAGAAATATTGTTAAATACATGTTCCCTGTTGCTTAATCCAACTAAACAAAATGAATAAATTCTGTTGAGTTCAACAATGCCCAGTTATTTTGCTTATGCATGAATAACATCATTTAAGTCTTTTTGTAAAATACTTATAATATCTGTTTTCAGGTTTACGAGAGATGTTTTCCAATCATGTTTTTGTTGGCTGTGTTGACAAAGAATTCTCCCTCATGCAACATCAAACAAAACTTCTTCTTACAAATACAAGCAAACTTAGGTAAGGTTATTTATTGCTTCTTAGTATACATTATACTTAAAGTCATCTCCCCAATGCATAGCCTGTATTTTTAGCTCGACTATTCGCAAATGCAGTCACCCATTTGTCGGCGTCGGCGTCCCTGTGGTTAAGTTTTTGCTTGCAAGCTGGTATCTCCATAACTACTGAAGGGAATGGATTGAAACTTCACACACTTGTTCTCTGTGATTATCTAACATGATTGGCATAAGTCCCATAACTCTGATACGCTTTTTTGCATAATTATGCCCCTTTTTCGACTTAGAAATGATTGGTTAAGTTTTTGCTTGCAAGCTGGTATCTCAATAACTACTGAAGGGAATGGCTTGAAACTTCACACACTTGTTCTTTGTGATTATCTTTAATGATTTGAATAAGTCCCATAACTGTGGTTTGCTTTTTTGCATAATTATGCCCCTTTTTCGACTAAGAAATTCTTGGTTAAGTTTTTGCGTGCAAGCTGGTATCTCCATAACTACGGAAGGGAATGGCTTGAAACTTCACACACTTGTTCTCTTTGATTATCTAACATGATTGGCACAAGTCAGTAACTGTTATTTGCTTTTTTGCATAATTATGCCCCTTTTTCTACTTAGAAATTCTTGGTTAAGCAAATATCTCCATAACTACTGAAGGGTTTTAATAATAAAGCAGTGATTAACTCGATAAAACATCTTAATAACAAGCCTTTGTACCTTTTCGGACAATTTTATGTATTCATATTGGTAAGCATTTTTATACTCAATGAAACACACTTGTCACAACTTTTCGAATAGTCGAGCTTTACTGTCCGCCAACAGTTCTTGTTATCATGAAAAATTTTATTGAGGGTTTTTCAAAAATTGCAGGAATAGAAATATTTTTCCAAGATTTGTGTTCCATTTGATGAACCAAATCATGTGTGCCAAATTTCAAATCATGACAAATTCAAATCATTTCAAATTACTATGATTTTTCCAAGAATAATCATGTTTATCAAATCAGGCTAAGAATTGCACAATTTATTGTAATTCTGAGTGTCTTTTGCATAATTTTTCTATAATAAGTGTCTCTGTTAATCTTTGTAAGAATCTTAATGTTTTATTATAGAATTTAATGTTTAAAATTTTGGAATTCAATGGAGTTCTTCATACTGTACTTCAGCCTCAATGAATAAATGCAAGGCATTATTACATGTCAGGCGTCCGTAAGTAAGCAAAGTGATTAAAAGACAAATGGGTACATGATACATACATGTAGGTCTTTATTATGCTCCCCGAAAAATTTCAGGGGAGCAAATAGTCGACGGGTTGCTCCGTAGATCCGTCATTCAGTCAGTACGTACATCCCAAATTCGTGTCCGGCCCATTACTTTGTTATTTGAAGTTGGATTTTGCAATTATTTTCACAGAAATGATCACCATATTGAGACGATGTGTCACATGCAACATTTGGGTCCTTACCTTGAAGGTCAAGGTCACAGCATGACCTTGCAGTAAAATGGTGTCCTGCCCATAACTTAGTTATTTGAAGTCGGATTTTACAACTATTTCACAGAAATGATCACCATATTGAGACATGTCACGCGCAACATTTTGGTCGGTACCTTGAAGGTCAAGGTCACAGCATGACCTTGCAGCAAAATCCTGTCCAGCCCATAACTTCGTTATTTGAAGTCGGATTTTACAACTATTTCACAGAAATGATCACCATATTGAGACGTGTCACGCGCAACATTTGGGTTGTTTTTACACTTTGAACTTTGTCTGTGACATAACTCTGACACTACAAAAAGTATACTTTTCTGTGTCCAAAACCTATTCAGGTTGCATCACCTGGTTCAACCGGCACTTGTTTATTTATTTAAGAATGTTCTTTCACCTGTCATTCCATTGATCTATGATGTGTCTTGCACTTAATAAATTCATTGCATAACACATGAATATTAACACTAGAATAAAACTTTTGCCTGCAACTTTATTTCTGATAAGCCCCCTATTTGACTCTTGTATTTCTATAACTTATGCTTGCCTATATGAAAATTATTCTAGTGGAGAGGGAAAACAACTGTATTAACAATAGTGTTGTTTTTGTGACAGCTCTTGTTGCAGTGAATAATTTGTCTGGAATAATGAAAATTTGGTTTAAATCAAGATAATGATAATAATGTGAAATGTCTGGGTATGGTTAACACGAAACTGATATACTGATCTTGATATGTTTGGATCAGACGTAGATCCAGGGAATATTACTAGAGCTGACAAGGAATATTATTCTTATTCTATAGGGAGTTTGGCATTTTACTAGTTTTCAAGAGTGGGACATCGGTTTATATTTTTGCTGATTTTCTGTAGCAATCATGATTTTCACTTTAATAAAAAATACATAAACTGATACCCAAAACTCAGTGGGTTTTATATACTTAAGCCAAACCACCCACATCCATCCCCCAACACTGGATCTGCACATGTGGATGTTATTTCATATACAACAGAGCCTATTATATATAAAATATTTTAACTGAATAATAAATTAGAATTTATTTATATTTTCAGTGAGGAACTGTTTTATCAACTGTTTATCTTTGATTTTGGAAACTTTGGTCTTCTCAGGTTATCAGTAAGTACAAAATCTATATTCAAAAAATTTTACTCACAAAAATTGCATGCAGTTATGTTAAGTCAAGTCATGTTTACTATTGTGCAGAGGTGTTAAACCTCCCAAGCCAAACACGGAAATGTGAATGTTAATTATCTATTGACCATATCAGATAAAAACCAGGGCAAAATTGTGCATGATAAATGTAATACAATGTATAATTGCATTGACTTTATATTCAGATCTAACTTTTCTATCCAAATTTCTTTACAGAAATTTTGCCCCCCTATTTCTGAAACACAGCAAACTAGATCTCATGTACGTTAATTATAGTGCTTGAACTGTGTTCACAAAATTTCTTAGAAACATTGCGACCTATTTCAGAACATTTAATGTGTGCCATAAATTTCAGTTTAGTCTGCGCTGCATACAAATGAATAACTTAATGACAGTCATCCTGAGGATGGATTAAATTTATGTAAATTCAATTCTAGAAATGTGACACAATCTAACAATGAAAACTTTCAAATTTTATTTTATTTTATTTATTTAATTTAAACAACTATTAAATGATTTTTTATCTCATATTTGTTGGTTATTAGGCACCTAACGAGAATGTTTGATATGGTTATCATAACCAGTTTAAAGCAGCACGCCTCCAGATTCATGCTAATTTTCATGAAAAATTTGAAAATGTTTTTGAATGTGTAATATTGTGCAGTTACCAAAAGGAAGCAATCTACACATTATCAGCAGCACTTACAAACCACATAAATTACTAAAAATTAATGTGGTCAAAATATGCATAAATAGCCTTAACTGCATTAGTAACGCAGTAGAAATATAGTTGTAAATACTGAAAAATCAATCATTAATCGCACATAATATGTGAAATATTACTCTTCTTATACATCTTAGTACATTTTTCTCAAGTTTGATTTCATTGAAATATTTTGACTTATCTGGAGGCATGTAGTCTTAAATGTACATAATTATATTGTCTTGTATATCAACAGGAACCAGCCCCCATATATGACCTTGCCATGATGGCCCTTGACCTTGAAGAATCAGGGTGGACTGATGCAGATGGACCAAAAGAGGACCTTGCGGAATATATTGTTAATTTTTTGAAGTCAAAATCAGAGATGCTTCAAGATTATTTCTCTATAGAAATTGATCAGGTTAGATTGCCATTGAGATTTGAATATATAGTTCATTATTGAATTGCAAGTTTTTCACTAGACAGTTGTGATGATAACCTTATTATACCCCTTCCACATAATGTGGATGGGGACTATACTGGAATTACTTTGTCACATCAGTCAGTTAATGGGTCATCTGTTGTCTCTAGAGATTCTAAACCCCTTTAAGGATTTTCTTCAAACTTAGCTGAAACGTTCATCTCAACAAGGTGATGTGCCAGGTAAATGTCACCCTTGAAGGTCAAATATGAGACTATTTTATGTTCACTCAATAAATCCTGTACCCCTTGAAGGATTGTCTTCAAGCTCAAATTTTGAACATTTGTGTCTATAAAATATATTCTATATCTACAGGTATCTATATCTCAGATGTGGGTATTCCTCATTACAGTGACAGCTTTAGTTTGTTTTGTACACTGCTGCTAAATTATGTTGATTTATTGACCAGATATACATTGCATGGGAAAGTCACCATTTGGTATAAGGATTTTAAATATGCAAAATGACTATTAAAAAAAGACTGTAATAAAGCGGCCTTCAGGTTTTATTTTCTGTTGCAAAAATAGTTCTGTGTTGTTTCAAAATAAGTATTTCAGTAATTTTATCTTGAAAAAGTCCTTCATATCACTGTTTACCTTCAAAACAGATATTTTGTGTCTAAAAAATAGAAGATCGGGAAGGAATGGTCTGCTTTACTTATTTAAATATAGAGAGTGCCTCGGTAGATAAGAGGTATGGAGGGTTTTCAAGATTGTTTATGTATTTTATCATCTGCAGATTTCTTAAAACCATCTTAATTCTTTTGATTTGACAATTATATGAAACATTTTATCTAAAAATAGCATATTTAATGGTCAGAAAAGCTGAAGGCCGCTTTAAATGTAAATTATTGATTTAATATATTAGAAAAGTCACAGCACTGGATATCCCAAAAATTTATTGTTGAATAAACATAATACTCATATATACCTACAGTGGCAAGTGGTGTACTTAAGAAAGTGACACTTTAATGCTTCCTTGCAAAAAAAAAATTCAAACATTGGCCACTCTGGATGAACTAAATATTAAATTTCCTAATCATTCTGTACAGTAGATGTTATGATAAAAGTAAGGCATGCAATCTGTAAAATGAAAGGAGAGACATTTTTTATTGCCTTTAACAAATAACATTTCATGAGATGATCAAAATTTTCTTTAAGAAATTAATAGTTCTTTTTTCAAACACTTAAACTGACATTATCAGATATTTTGTTTTTAAGAAATACTTGTTTTAAACTATTGCACTGCCTGAGAACTGTAATCGTAGAATTCTAGAATATTTGTTTAGAACATACTAGTAGTTCAGGAATTTTAGTTATAACAGATGTATTTTATAACTGACAGAATATATAGAACTGATTTCATGGATAAAAAAACAAAGTAAAAAAAAAAAAAAAAATTTCCAAAAGACAAAATCCAGCATGTGTTACAAGACTTAGTCCAATGATAAATTATCATGTTAAATAGATGGATATGATAAAATTGAGAAATAGAACCCCTGTATCATTATTTCATATGTTATGATAGAGCAATGTTGAACATTTCCATGTACTTATATTTCATATGTTATAATAGAGCATTGTTGAACATTTCCATGTACTTTTATTTCAGAAAGGATATCTTCACACTTTACCCCTGGTGCTTGATGATTATATACCTGACCTAGAGGGACTGCCTATGTTGGTTTTGAGACTTGCAACTGAGGTACGTGTAATTAGCTCTCTGACTACTTGGCAGAAATAATCACATTGAAGCATAGGCCACCGCTAGAAACAATCAAAAGCCTATGCCATGGCTAGAAATTATCACAGGCCTTGGCCGTGGCTATGAATAATATTAGATCTAGGCCATAGCTAGAAACAAGAAACATGGCAATGCCATGAAACCAGGTTTTCAATTATCACCATTGTAGATAAATATGTTGTATTTGAAATACAAATACAAGCAACAAACAATGTAACTATGTGCAATGTAAAACATGAATAATGTAGGAGGAATTGCCACTGAAGAAGTGTTCACTATAATATTATGTATAAGGAAAAAAACAAAGGGCCATAATTAGGTCAAAAACTATCCAATCACAAAACCCCGACAATATGTGCCAGGGTGCTTGATGACAAAGCTTCTGTGAAAGTTTGAACAAAATCCGTTGAGAAATGTAGGACGAGTTCAGCACAGAAGAATTTGTTCACTATAATTATATTGATAATTCTGTATAATGAAAAAACAAGTTACAAAGTAGACATGAAATAATATATCATATCTTTTTTAATTACCTCCAAAGATGATATGACCTTTGACTGCCAAATCAAGTTAAAATCATGTAAACAGGATTTTCAATGTTAATGTCACTGTGACCTTGACCTTGGAGCCAGCCATGCGGAACATGCGTTCTGCACGTCATCTTGATGTGGTAAACATTTGTCTGAAGTTTCATCAAAATTCTTCAAAGGGTTGAAGAGTTACAGAGCGGACAGGATTTTCAATGTTAATGTCACTGTGACCTTGACCTTGGAGCCAGCCATGCGGAACATGCGTTCTGCACGTCATCTTGATGTGGTAAACATTTGTCTGAAGTTTCATCAAAATTCTTCAAAGGGTTGAAGAGTTACAGAGCGGACACAATTTCGTTTGACGCCCGCCCGCCCATCCGCCCGCCATACCCCAATCTAATAACCAGGATTTTCAAAATTGAAAACCTGGTTAATAAACACCTAGGCCATAGATAGAAAGAACCACAGGCTTCAGACATAGCTTTAAATAATCAAAAGGCCTAGGCCATCAAAAGCCTAGAATAAGCTTAGATATTTTCCATGGTACAACACCTTGTCACCCTACAAAGTTATATAAATTTGTCTCTGTGATCAAAATGTTCCATCCTTGGGGGTCATTTACTTTATATATATAGACTTGCATAGTAAAACAACTCTTGTGTGAAAATACAATGCAAAAAGCTTAGATAATTGTCATTAAGCATTTCATAGCAGACATGTACAAATATTTTGCAAGTTATTTAGCTTGGAGCAAAAAAATCAAAACAAACCGGTGTGGCCTTATTTCTTGCTTTAACCTTTTCTAGCAGTGAATCTCAGGTGAGCGGTCCAGGGTCATTATGACCCTCTTGTTTAAAGAAAACTGTATAATAACAAGATATTCATTGATGTTACAGGTGGACTGGGACGCAGAGAAAGAATGTTTTGAAAGTTTTTCTCGGGAAATGAGCAGTTTTTATGCCATAAAGAAAAGTTTATTTGCCAGTACAGATGAAAACTCTGAACAAAAGCCAGAGGTATGATAATTAATAATGGAAAATTAAAAAACAATTATATCTAGTGGTAAATTACCTTTGTCTTATATTTAAGGGGATAATGAGTTTTAGCCTCATTTACTTTTTAATTACACTGCCTTTTTATCATGCTATCATTTTTTATAATTTAGCATTAAGTATTTAGTATTTTCATCAAAGATTTTAGTGATATTTTGTTAAGTTTAAGTTTTAAAAAATGTAAATGTAACATTTTTGGTTCAGAAGATTTTTTTAAAAGACACATGAATAAATATTTCTTTAACATTTTAGAATGATCCAAAGAACAGATCATCTTGGAAATGGACGGTGGAGCATGTTATATTTCCTGGTTTGAGGAATCTCTTTTACCCTCCCAAACATTTTGCAGAGGACTCTAGTGTGTTACAGATTGCTAACCTGCCTGATTTATATAAAGTTTTTGAAAGATGCTGATTTTTGGAATTTCATGTTGAAAACTAATTAACTGTGCAAGACATGTGATTATTTAAGATTACAATATAGTGGGATATATTCCGAGTTAATTATGCCCCCATAACTTAGGTTAGGGGTCGGCTGGGGAGAATATAGATATGTTGTTGTTCATCTGTCTGTCAGGATGTTCTTCAGTAGACTTTGATGATAGTAGGATGTGGGGGCATCTGGGTTTTGTGAACATATATCTGGATTGTTCTTTAATTTTGTTGAATAATGGTGGTTTTTTGTTAAACCCTTTGGAATAACAGAAAGGATGAATAGAAAAGTTAGAAAATACAATTAATTGAGAAGGTTAGAAAACTACAGAAAAGTTAGAAAAAAAGCAAAAACTTTAACAAATAAACATTTAAAGAATATTTGGAGAAAAAACTATTGATTACTCTCAAAAAAAGTGTTTGTAATGTTTGATATATATTTTTACTGTTACAAATTGATCTTAAGACATTACAAAGGAATAAATTTTGAAAATTATATTTGTTGATAAAACTTTGTCTTTATTTCTTTGGAACATAATTTTAGCAAAAAGGAAGTGACAACGGAGTGACTACTATTAGTAATCAGTAATTACTGATTAGTTATCAAGAAGTAGAGCCAGTCAATCTAATTAAAATCACCACCTTAATTTTGCTACGCATTAGGATCTAACATTTACCCATAGGCAGTCACCTCATGGTCTTTCAATTGGCGAGCTTTCATTATTTTGAAAGGGATGCCGTTTCAAATTTTAACATTTGGAAAACCAATACTAACAAGGTAATTTTCACAATTAGGTGAAGCCTATAGATTTTGAAGTCAAAGGTCAAGTTCACAGGGGCCTTTAGTTCAAAAAGTTTGTCTGCTCAATTGCTTTAGAATGCTTTGGTCAACAGTCTTCATATTTTGTATTGAGGTTGCTTATGACCAGTGGATGACCCCAATTGATTTTGAAGTCAAGGTCAGAAAGGCCTTGACTGAAAAAAGCTTGTCTGCCCAATGACTTAAGAATCCTCTGACCCACAGTCTTCATATTTGGGATAGAGGTTAGTCATGACCTTTAGATGACCCTTATTGCTTTTGAGGTCAAGGTCACAGGGGCCTTGACTTCATAAAGCTTGTCCACCAATCACTTAAGAATCCTTTGACCCACAGTCTTCATATTAGGCATTGAGATTGGTCATGATCATTTGGTGATGCCTATTGATTTTAAGGTCAAAGGGGCCTTAAGTTCTAAAAGCTTGTTTGCTTAAGAATGCTTTGGTCAACAGTCTTCATATTTGGTATTTAGGTTGATTATGACTAGTAGATGACCCCAAATGATTTTGAGGTCACTAGGTCATAGTCACAGGGGCTTTGACTTCAAAAAGCTTGTCCACCCAATAACTTAAGAATCCTTTGATCCACAGTCTTCATATTTGGCATGGAGGTTGATCATGAGCATTAGGTGACTGTGTCAAATGTCACAGGGGCTTTAACTACAATAAGCTTGTCCACTCAAATGCTCCAAGAATGCCTCTCCGCTGTATTGATTTTGATGCCAGAGGTCAAGGTAGCAATGCACTACCCTCAGATTTGGCAGGGAGGTTGTCCTTGAGCTCTAAATGACCACTGTTGATTCTGACAAAGTTGTATGCAGGGGTATTCACGTCATGACAGTGGCTGTTCTTGTTAAAACCAAATAATGGTGCTGATAAAGCCTTAGAAAATAAAGTTTTGTCTTCAGTTTTAATTTGAGTAGTTTGTAAAAGTCTATCGTTAATATACTAAATATTAGCAAAAAAATAATTGTTTTAAAGGAAACAAATCTGGTTGAACATAAATTTTACACCTTATAGAAGCATCACCATAACACCATGCTCTTAAATGTAAGAGTAAGTTTCTGACCTAGAGAGTATAGATGCACTGTTTCGATCTGAAAAAGCAAGAGGATTATTTTCAGTCTACCATTACACCTCATTAACCAGGAAATTCTATTTGATTATCAATTTAGTTCTGTCTACCTTGGAGGGTTGTCATTATTTGTTAGTATGATAATCAAGTATCCTTATACTTATTATTTGAATAATTTGGAAACTACTTCAATTTTTAAATGCATCATTTATAATGATAGCCTATTATTTTATAGTTGCTTTTTCATGGAAGGTGAAGACTGAATACGTTTTATGTAATTAAAGAAAATACGTTCTTCTCAGAAAAGTACTTTCATTTTTATGAAAATACCTTTTTAGCTGGACTTTTTGAAGAATATATTCAATATGGAGAGTTATTGTACTCGCCTAAATGTCACCCTCGACATTACACTCTGGTTAACCTTTTTAGTGCCAGTTGATGTCTCCAAAACAACACTTCATTCATTTATTTGAGAGCATAATAGGAGATCACTATCCAAGGCCTATAACTCTAACATTGATTTTGACAGAATTATGGCCTTTTTTTAAACTATGAAATTTTTTAATTTTCCTGGCTCTTATGTTACTTTCAAGCACTGAAAATAGTCTGAAGCACGCAATCCAAATGACACTTCTAATTTAAATGTACAAGTATACATAATACTGTCATGTCTTTCCTCTAATCATAAAAAATAGAGATTACCATAGAAAATTATCTCTTTTTTTAGCTTACTGATTGTGAGATTTCTGTAACGGGTTATGTGTTTAAACAACATCTCCTCATAAAATACATGGTAGATTTTAATCAGATTTTATAGGAATGAAGCTGAGGTGGCTTTCTACAAAAGGTATATAAATGGTTCCAGTTTGATGCACAAAAAAGATCACAGGAATAAAATAAATTTAGAATGAAATCTCTTAGAAACTACAATGCTCAGAGCTTGGAAATTTGGAATGTAACATTGCCTAGTAGATCTCTAGTTTCAAAGTTTATTTTGTACTAAAATTTGTACAGCATAATAACAATAACATATGAGTGTTGACAAGAAATGTCCCCACGGTGCACAAAATAGCTGTGCCCTTGGAGGTTTCTTATAGATGTTCCCATGGTGCACAAATAGCAGTACCCTGGGTGTCTCTTAGTTATCATAGACTTGTAAAGTAAACATGTTTCTAAACATATGATGCCTAGAGCTTTATAACAAAAAATAAATATCTCCCTGAAGTCAAAATTGACCCCTGCCTTGGAGATCACTTAGTTTACATTGACTTATATAGGAAAGCAAATATACAATGTATTTAGTTGTTTTTTTTTTAAACTACAATACCCAAAGCTTTAGATATCTAGCATGTAGCACTTGTGATAACTTACAAACATGCTCCTAGTGCCATATTTGGTCTTGCTCTGGTCACATGGTGTATATAGACTTGTATTGAAAAAATTGAAAAAAAAAACAACTTTTAAGGAGTTCATTGAGGTCAAAAAGCCTAAAACATAAAATATAAAATTCTTTCATAGATGAAGTGAGTACTTTAAAACTGAAAAAATTATGTAAAATAATTTTACTTAAAATTGTTTATGAGATAATTTTACACATATTGGTAGCTGAGTTATGAGCTTGATAACATTATAAAGTGTGGTATGGTTCAATTTGGGTTAATTGATCCCTAAAGAAATTAAAGTAGTTAAGTAAAAATAGTATTTTTCTTGGAAATTCTAAGTAAGGGATATAAAATCTGAAATATTTGCTAAATTATGTTGAGGCCTGTCAATAAATGCTGTTGATAATTAGGTACATTTAAAAATTTGCAATTATCCGTTTAGTGTTTAAAATAAAAATCAGTTTAGTGAAATTCTAAGTTCCTTTGCAATAAACTGACAACAGTGCCTATATGGCCTTTTACATTGTGGTGTGTTAAAATATTTTGATTTAACTAATGAAACATATGACAAATTTTTCTAATTATGTTGCAGGCGGTAAATGCTCTCCTATTTTTCAGTATAACTATTAAAAATCTACTCAGATTCTCTGATGTCTTTAAAAAGTTATATAAATCATGTTGCTTTTGCTGACATATTTGTCCCTTATTTGTATGATTATTACATTTCTAATAATTGATCTGACAATTAGTGCCATCATGCTCTTGTTTAGAGGTGTGGTAGGTACTCCTTTTTAATATCAGATACTACGGACAATTTCATATTTGAGCTGTTATTCTTAGCATTATTCCTTTATAATATAACAATAGCGATGCCATCCTTCTGTAAATTACTCCTTTAGAAATCATTATCATCTTAAAAACATACCATTTCTTAATGTGACAGCATTTCAACACTTTTTTCCCTTAATTTGATCATTTATTCATCAGTTATACTATCAGTTTTCAGAACTGTGAAATATAAGTAAAATTGGGAAGAGAAAATTTGTTATTTTCAGACAGTGTAAACTTTTTACGCACTTTACAGGATTTATATCATAGTTTTGCCAATTTCAGGAAAATAATGTAACACAAGACTGGAAAATGTTCATCATTTTGTCACGAACAAGTTACTATCTCCTCAATACTGTCTATAAAATTACATTTGTATGTTCAATTTCCTCTATTTATTTTGGATAAGTTTGAATTTTTCAAAACATTACAGTTTATATAATGTTTTTTTGAAACTGTAATATTATATATGTATTTAGAATACTGCATGTTTGTTACGTTAATTTTTATTGGATAATCACGATGTTTATATTATCTATATCACACAGCTGCTGTATATTAAAGTATTATTTTCATGTTTCATCAAAGTAAACAGTTGTGCATGATATTATAAAATCATGCTCAACTGTTTTCTTTGATGAAACAGGAAATTTTTGTAATATTATGTATAGTTTTGACTGGTTTTAAAGCGTTACTGGAAAGAAAATTTTACAGAATGTGAAAAAATAATACACAGTCTAGCAAGTTAGGAAGTCATTTTTGTTTGCTTGTCATGAAAGTAATAGTGTGAATAACACATTGTCTGAATAAATCAGTTCAATAAATGTGTGAATTAAGAAAAGTAAGCTGTGTTCATAGTAATATCTTTGGTTGTAAATATTTTGTCCTACTGACAGCTTTTGTTTTTTCTTTAAAAGCCATGACTGAAAATCAAACTCCAATGGCCACAGCTAAAAATAAGGCAACAGAGTTATCCAGTGCACAACAGAATATTATGTTGTGTATTTGAGATTTAACACAAAAATCATATACAACACAGTTTTGGTGAAATTTTTGTGACTGAAAATTTCCCATTCTACCTTAGGTTGTATTTCTGTGTTCAAACTCACTCTGTTTTTTATATGAACATCACCTTACCACTCAGGTTATATGAACATCACCTTACTGCTCGGTTTATATGAACATTGCGTTACTGCTGGGGTTA